CAATTTTTCTTCCCTTTTTTTGTTAATTTTTTTTATCTTTTCCTTTTTATCTCTTTTTTTTTACCTTCCTTAGGGCAACGTACAAAAGTAAGGCTGAGATAGTTAGCCCACTTATTATTATTATTAGCCAACAATTCTCTCCTGCCTATAACTTTCCTTTCTCCTATTTTGCAACTGCTCTGTTCGGCTTCTGCCTGTCCCTGCTATCCCCTCCTCCCCTTCCCACGTGTTTGCTTCTCCTATTTTGCAACTGCGCACTCGCTCAAAAAGTTTTAACCTCCAAAGTCCCTACCGCCCACCTGGAATCCTGAAACGCCCACTAGTGGGCGGTAGGGACCAGGTTGACGACCCATGTATTAAATTATTCTGAATTGAAATCAAACAGTGTTTTTCTTGTCCCTTTTTTTGGAGTGCAGCTTATCCAGTTTGGAGTTTGCATGCTCACTTTTAATTGATTCTCCTCCTCTCTTGTTTCCTATAGGTGTCTTAGCACTCTGGGCCCTAATCACACATGTGATGTATATGCAGGACTATTGGAGGACTTGGTTGAAAGGCCTGAGGTTCTTCATGTGTGTTGGCATTTTCTTTGGCATACTCTCCTTGGTGGGATTCTGTACATTCCTGGCCCTGGCCATCATGAAGAAGCAATGTAAGTTCATAATTTGTTTCTGTTTGGAAATCTAAAGCTAGCAGTTCTGTGCAGCCAAAAAAAAAGGAGGCAGAACCAGTTTAGTGACAGCCATGAAATCTACTCCTATTTCCCCTCCTCCTCATTTAGAGAATCCATCAGACAGTTTCAGCGCATTCTGTCTGCAAAGAATGGGACCCTCCGGACAATATTGGACTCTATCAATCCCAATTGATATTGTCAGTGTTCAAAGATAATCAGAATTGTAATTCAGCAGCATCTGACTCCCTACCTTTGAGTTAGAAACCTGTACCTCAGCATGGAAGGATCCTTTGCTAAAATAGGTGTAGGTGCAAAAGAAGTTTTTACTAGAAAAAACATTAAAAATGTTGGACATAGTGCGACATTTCTGACAGTCATTTCCATAGAGTTCTTAGATCTTACAACAATAACAGTTTATATCCATTACATAGGTATGTGTAATCGGTCAAATTACCTACCCATTAATTCTTTCCTTATATAGTTACTGTCAGTACATATATATATGCATGTATGTCTGTGTGTGTGTGTGTGTATGTGTATGTATATATGTATGTATACACACACACACACACACACTCATGCATATATATATGTACTGACAGTAACTATATAACGAAATAATTAATATATCCAGTTCCTACCTATCAGAATATATATCCAGTTCCTACCTATCATACAATATTAATACCATATTTCCATCAATTGGCTGTTTGAGCCATTGAATACTTCTCAAGTTCAAGGCTGGATCCACCAGTGCTACATTAATTCTACTTGGTTCTATAGTAATGCTTGAATACCATATGCCTCCCTTAAAAGGGGAGTCCAGGGATGGTAGATCGGTAGATCCTCAAAATGGATTGGAGATTGGCTTATTGCTTATTATTGTCTTTTCACTCATGTTGGAAGCAACAAGGTGCTTTTGGGTTGAAAGGATTAGCTGGTGACATCACCATTGCCCAGGGGATGTCCTTTCATGTTTCTATTTAGGCTTCGAGGGGAGGAGCTGCCGCCGTCGGGAGCTTAATAAAGCTCCTGCCAGGACTCTGGTTCGTATATCTTATAAGA